AGGTACTGGAGGGAGGAGGGGGGAGGCCAGCCGGGTAGACCTGAGAGGCAGGAGAAGTGGCACTGAGATCCAGCAGGTGACCAGATGAAAGCACTGGGAGTAGGTGGAGCCAAGATATACTGACTTTTCGAGGGACATTTTCCTGTGTGGCATACTGTCCCACTTTTTTGCTCTGACTAGTTAGTCACATTGCATCTTCCCATTGAATCATTTTTTTAAAGAGAGCAGAACCCAGTTTAAATCAGAGGACGCAGAGTGAATCTAGTTTACTTTGCTCGGCTCATTGTCTGCTTCTAGAGTGGTGTATAAATAAATAACAATCTTGCCGTTTTTAGAACAGTGGGTTTCAAACGCTTTATAAAACCCCTGAAAATGAGGTCTTAAGTAGAAGTCCAATGTGTTAGAGATAAAAGCAGGGCTTTTACAAGGAAAGCTCTATATTACTGCCACTTGTGCAAGTGGCTGCTATATAGGAAAAAATAAAAGCAAAACGCAGAACAGTGCAGTGATCGGAAGAGAGCTTGAGACTGGAAGTTAAGGGTATGAAGGAGACTTACTTCTGTACCATATAATTTTTTTTTTTAACCTCATGCATGTATTAGTTAAATAACAAAGTGGGATTCAGGGGCTCTTAGCATTGTCTTCTTCACTTTCATTTCCTCTCCCCCCACTTCTTCCCTTTGTTTCCCTTCTGACCCCCCCCAGGGGTTCCCTGGAACCTAGTTTGAGAAGCCCGGCTGCAGCAAGTGCGTTGGTTGCTCCCCCTGGATGAGAGCCGGCATCCGCCTTGGCTGTGTTCTGATAACAGGATGGCGCTCAGGGCTGCCGTCATCAACATGCATGTGCGAAGGGACCGGAGGACGGTCAGGCTCACCCAGTAGGACAGCTCAGTATTTGGGAATCGTGAGACCCCCCCACAGATCCCCGTTTCCCAGCCGCTTAGCCCTGCGCACGCACCTCTCTGCCACCACTTACTCTTTCTCATGCTGCCCCGCCCTTTCCGAGGAGGGCTCTGTCCCGGAGTCCCCAGGCTGGCTGTGCTCCGCACGGGGCTGACGACGGCCGTGGGCACGAACACGGACCTGAAGGGGCGGCTCTGTCGGGGATCACCTTCTGAGATGCTGCCTTGCGAGGACACAGAAGAGCTCGACAACGTCCATGTGGTGTAGAGCCCAGGGCCGCGGGAGTCTGGAAAACTAGATGTCTTTCTGCGGGGGGGAGGGAATTGTTTTCAAAAGAAATGGAGAATGGTCAGGGAAGAGTCCTGTGTTTAAAAATCAGCCCCCAACCATATCCCAGATACGGCTGTTTCCCCCCTCCCCCCACCATGGAATCCGCGAGGCCCTACCCCATAGGCCTCAGCCCACACCCTGCTGACTGCGGGGTGCTGAAGGGGGCGGAGGCGCTCACACAGGGCCCCCCTGTATTCCCCTTGCTTTGCAGCACTGAGTCCTCGCTCGTTCAGGGACTTTCCCACTCGATTTTGAACTCTTCGGAGGGAATTTTATACGGCTTACGTGTTCTGCAGATCTTAGTTACGAACCAGTGTTTGCTGAATGGCTGTCACGAAGGTTTGGGCTCTGAAGCCAGTCGCTCCAGCTAACACACACGGAGCACTTACTGTGTGCCCGGCAATGGCCAGGGGCTTTGCCCACATGATCTCATGGGTCCTTTGCAACAGCCCTTGGAGGTAGGTTACTACGAGTGCCGCTATTGTATAGATGAGAAAAAAAAAAAGGAGATTTCCAGGTACTTGCNATGATCTCATGGGTTCTTTGCAACAACCCTTGGAGGTAGGTTACTACGAGTGCCGCTATTGTATAGATGAGAAAAAAAAAAAGGAGATTTCCAGGTACTTGCCCAAGCAGCTACTGTACTTTTGAACCTAGGTCTGGGCCGGCTGGCTGCTCTACCACTGAGCTACATCACCTGCCCTCAGACCACTGAGCAGCACTACCTTCCGGCTAGTTAGAGCTTTCATCACTTGGTAGCAAGGAATACCTGCATCCTGCTTGGAAGAAATGAATTAAAGCAGTGGGGAGGCCCTCCACGTGCCTCTGTAAGACACTAATTCTTTGATCTTGGGGACTGATTTTTAATGCCCGTATTAAACTTTTTAAAACAGCAAGCAACCCCTTCTGCATTGTTCCCAGCCTGCAAGCCCTTGAGCTCCGCGGGGAATGGCTGTCACTCTACATGCCTTTCTTGACCTTGTACCAATTCGACTCCAACATCACAGCCTCTACTAAGCAGTCCATCAATCACTGTGTCACTCTGTTGATGAAATAGCCTCGGCTAATTACCTGGGAATAACCAACTTGACCATGGCCCCTGGCACAGAGATGCCCTCCCTCCTGGTTTCCTGCCTGTCAATGCCTCTAGGTTTCTCTTTAGGTAATTTCCTCTGATTTTCCCCCTTTTCTTTCCTTTTGCTTAAAAGGGTATGTAGTTTAATAACGAGCCGGCCAGTGTTGTACAAAGATGAATAAGGCATCATTTAATGTGGCCAACCCTGCCCAGGATGTGCGGCCTGATCTGCTGCCTGCGGCAAGGGGACTTTGCCCTTAGCGATCAACCTGCATCTGGCCCCTGGTGATGCGGACAGTCGAAGGGGAGTGGGCGGCCCACCAGGAGCATCGCAGGCTGCATGGAGGCAAGGGCTGGGCGGTGAGAGAGGCCCCAGCACTGGCTTCCATGGCAGAGTCTGCATCTGCCTGTCTTTTGAACTGAGGCCTTGAGGTGCTGGGTGCTGCAAAACAAACTGAAAGCAGGAGAGAATGGTTCCAGAACTGTTCCAGTAGCAGCAGCAAGGACACGATACAGTTAACCAGACCCACAGCAGCTTCATTCTGTCCGCCCTCTCCTTGCATGGCTGTTTATAGACTGAGGTGCAGCCTCCTTTCTCTAGCCCAGCACTAGGCTGATTCCAGAAACTCCTAAACCCCAAGTCCTCTATCTAACATGGAGTCCTTCTGTGTCTTCTGGCCAAAGCTCAGCACTTCCCTAGCACTGTCTTCTGACATCAAAGCACGTTGCTCACGTATATTAATTAATCCCCATGATACCCAGACCTGCAGACGTCACAATGCTTGTTTTCTAGATGGGCAGGCGGAGACATTGTGGACTTGAGTGCAAGGAGCGCGTGTGCCTCCCCTTGGCTCCACTGTGCTGCTTTAGAGTGCAGGCCCCTGGGCCGCCCTTTCCTATCTGTGACATGAGCCCTAAGAACTTGCCCAGTGTTTGAAAGGGGCCATACAGATGCCGTGTTCCCCACTGGCAGTAGCCTCACGGTGGAGCGGGAGCTTGGGCCTTGCCAATTTTTATGTAGTTCTGTGTAGAAAGTTAAAGGGAAATGAGTGCTGGCCCCTGAGTCACCAGGAGGCACATGTGTTGGGTGAAGTTTGCAGGACAGAGCAATGCCCCGGCTAAGGGGGCGGAAGGGAATGTCTGGGGAGGATAGCAGGGTGTGGAAAAGGCTCGGGAACAGGTCCGGGGAGGCTGCTGAGGAGCCAGAGCAGGAAGGGTCTGGCGGGTCAGATGTCACTGCTTGTGCTCTCGCCGTGAACGGTTTCAGCTCGGCCTCCCTTCTTTCCTCCCTTGCTCAGGTTTCCAAATCCCGAGAGGCAGTGTCAGGGTGGCCGAGCCTGTCCCTTAGCTGTGGTGATGGGTTGAGGAGTTCATTTCTTCAGCCTCTGAAAAGGGAGGAAATGTCTGCCTCCCACCAAGACTATGCACAAGGAGGAAACCTAAAGGGATGCTGGTGCTATTGAGAAGGGGTTTGTTTTGTATGACAACCTGAGCCAGTGGGTGCCTCCAGGAGCTGGGGAACACGTCCCGGTGGCAGGGATTTAGTTGTGCTCAACACAGGACAGGTCGTTGGTGTCACCATCTGGCAGAGAGGGCTGGAGCTCTGGGCGGCACAGCAGCCTTTTCCTCTCTTGGTAATTAAAAGGCTCACTCGGTGAATCTTAAACTAAACCCTTGGCATGTCGGTCAGCTCTGCCCTATCCACAGTTAGTCCTGAAACCCTGGCTGGCTCAGTTCATTAGGGGTGATGCTAATAAGAGCAGTGGTTCAAATGTTCAGGGTGCACCTCACACCTTCGAACCCTGGCTATTTATAAAACTTAAAAGCTATATGATTTTATTGATTTGAGAGAGAGAGAGAGAAAGAGATAGAAACACCGATGAGAGAGAATCAGCGATCAGCTGCCTCCTGCACGCCCCCCACCAAGGGGGCTGGCGCCAGTGCAGAGCCAACGCTGCAAACAGAAAACTGCGGGGTGAGGGCGCTTCACACACACACAGAGCCAAAGAGCAGAAACGCGGTGTCCACCCCTCGGTTCCAACACAGCCTGTTTAAAGGAGCAGCAACGCGGCCGACGCAGGACAGCGTCATTCAGCCCTACGAAGGGGAGGAGCTGAAGCTCCCGCAGTGGGAAGGAGGCTAAGAACAAGGGTGAACTGCCCCCGGACAGACAAACTGGACATACGTCATCCATGTCCAAGATTAGCGGGGACAGGAACTTTCTCTGTGTCAGGGAGGCCGTCAGGGAAAAGGTACACGTGCAGAAAGCATTGGTCCTCTGTCGCCTAGGAGGCCTCAGGAGAATATCCTATGACAGGGACTTGTTTTTGGAAATGCTGGTTCTCTAGAAGCGTCAGTAGCACCTCAGTACACGTGTATGTTCAGATTCCTGCGAGCAGGGGTGGGGGAGATGGACTCAGTGGCAGGCTAGCGCTGAAACTGTATTCATGGTCTGACATGCAGCAGTACCGGAGGGCGTGAGTCTAGATGCTCTTGATGTGCCCACGACCACGATAGGAGAGCAGCCGAGGAGGCGAGAAAGGGAAGCTGGAGCCCCGAAACACACCGGGACGGGATGGGACCCTGCACACGCTCCAGCGAGGGCGACCACACGTCTGGATTTCCCAGGCGAGCCCGTTTACACCCGCTGCGTTAAGGGCCCCTCTCTTATCTCAAAAGTGTCCTAGTTTGGATGGTAAATTATACGGTCATTCTTATTCTAACGGTTCTTTCACGGCATAACCGGGACTTTGGGCTAAGGCCTGACGCGTAAGCAAACGCCCTAGGAGCAGGCACGGCCCTAGGGAATTCACGTGAGATCCAACGGAAGAATCTGTCCATGAGTTAGGGCAGGCGTCCTCCGAGCTCCTCATTAGCTCTTCTCGACCATTCTCCCACCTTCCTCCACATCGCCCAGCTTTGACTCATAGTATCAGCCCCCTACGGTCTTGTTGCAGTCAGTCATCATTTCTCCCCAGGTCTCTCCCCTCATTCCTGGAAGATTTCAGCTCCTGGCTCACTGTCCCCGAAACACACCAAGACGGGATGTCCCCTGCACCTGATCCTACCATGGTGATTTCATCTAGAGTTAGGGCTTTAAATGCCACCTCAAGTCCGGACCTCTTCCTTAAACGCTAGCCTTGCACACTTAACCAACGTCTCTACTAAATACTAACAGGCATCGAGAGTTAATCTGTTGCAAACAAAGCTTTAGCTTCCATTCGTCCCCCAAAACCTGTTCCTGTTTTATTTTCACCTCCATCTCAGCAAAAGGCAACTCCCTCTTCCAGTGACTCAGGCACAGAGCTTGGACTCACCTCGAACGCTCTATTCTTTCACACCCGATGCTTGATCGGTCAGAAAATCCGGTTGTCTCTTCCCTCAGAGCATAGACAGAATCTAACGCTTCCCTCCCTCCGTGGCTCGCACCCTGCTTCAGTTCACCATCACCTCTCCCCCGGATTATGACAATATTTCCTCAGCTCGTCTCTCTCCTTCCAGCTTTCCCTCTCGACAGTCTATTCTCAACCCAGCAACTGGAAGGATTCCGGTTCAGGTTTAAGTTAGATCATGTCATTTTTCTGTTCAAAACACTGCAGTAGGGTTCAAGGCAAATTCCTCATTGTGACCTAGGAAATTCTCTATGATCTGACCCCCTGTCACCATTCTGACTTCATCTCCTTCTAACCTACCCCTCACTGGCTTTAACCCAGGCCTGCTGGCCTCCCTGTCAGGCACACACCCGCCCCAGGGCCTTTGTTCAGGAACTTGCTGTCCCTTTGGCCTGGAATACACTTCCTTCGAGACCCACACGGCTCACCTCTTCAGTTCCTTCATTCCCCCCTTCATTGGTCTGTGAGGCCATCCCCCCCCCAACCTGCTAGAACTTCAATCGCCCCCGCGAGTTCTATGCCCCTTCCCTGATTTACTTTTCTTCTTAGCCCTTAGCATTAACACACCACATAGATTACCTATACATTGCTTTCTGTCTGTCTGCTCCACTAGAATGCAATCTCCTGTGGGCAGGGATTTTGTGTATTTTGTTCACTGGTGTTTCTCCCAGTATCTAGAAAGGTGACTGTCACCTGTCAGTGCTCAATCAATATTTGTTGAATAAATGAATTAAAGCATCAGTTATAGACACCCTTAGTTTGCTTTTGGAGATTTTACAACTTTCTAATGAAATCCAAGAACCTTCCTTTGAAGGGAATAATAATATGATCTTGTGTTCCAACTTTCTGCCAGTCTCTTTACGCAAACCGGGACCTATGGGGACCCAGACTTTGCCTGTACTCTCCCTAGAAAGGGGGTCCACCACCTCACCGGCTAGCCTGATGCGGAGCCTTTTAATGAACCACAACCTTCTAAGCTGTAGCCACTGGTTCACTGCCCCCTCGTGGGACAAATGTTTCCTGGCCTGCACAGTCTATGATGGTCCCTCTGGCCCTTCTTTCTACACCTTACACAATAGCCCTAGTTTATTGGTTTTTTCCGTGATATGGCTTTGTCTCCTCACCATCCTTGCTGCCCTCCTCCGGACTCAGTGCCTCACCTACGTGAAGGTCCCCCAAACTGAACATATGACTCCAGGCGTGGGCCCCATGGAGTACCATGAGGTTATCACTTTCCTCGGGATTATGACTCTCTGGGATGTCATAAAGACAGCATTTGATGTGGTGATGGCCTCACGGCCGTGGCTTTGCCTGGGCCGGTGGGGGTGAAGGTGGGGGGGTCGTGGGTAGTTTGGGGCTCGCGTGCTTGGTGGTTGTGGTAGGAGGTGGCTACACGCACTGTGGGCGGTGAAATGATCAGGTCCCCCAGAGAATGCCCGAGGGTGGAAANAGGTGGCTACACGCACTGTGGGCGATGAAATGATCAGGTCCCCCAGAGAATGCCCGAGGGTGGAAAAGCAGTTTTGGACGAAGACCCGCAGGGTAACTAACATGTGGCCTGGGGTGCGGATGGTCGGGGAGCAGTCTGAGTTCACGGAAACTCTGCTCAAGGCCCAGCATCCTGGGAGGGTTCCTGGGGCACTCGGGTGTCATCTGGCCGTCACATTTCCCCATTCTGCCACTAGATGGAGCGTCGCGGTGGGGACGTGAGGTGGGAGTTTTGGTGTTTGTACAGAAAACCTGAAACCTAGTTCCTGGCCAGGTTGCTTAACTCTGCACATCAGTTTCCTCATTTGTAAAATAATATCTACCTTATGGGGGGCGGGGGGAGGGGACATCTGTAATACTTTCAACAATAAAGATGAATTAAAAAAAAAAAAAGGAGCCCTGGGCATAGATAATACATTAAAAAATGCTAAAGAGCTTGTCACCTGTGAAGAGCTATAGAAAAGACAACTATTTTTATTATTTTCTTTTAAAATTAAAGCGTCAGGAGGGCACTAGAGCAAAAGCTGTTTCCTGGCCCACACTCTGAAAGAGCGTCGAGTCCTTCAGCAGTTCAACCCACAGGTGGCTCTGGCCTAGGTGACCGGGTACCCTGACGCCCGGGATCGGAGGGGACGCACCTGAGAATGGGGATGACGTAGTTGTTGGGGAAGATGCCCGCTCGCCCGGTGACCAAGGAGACGCCCCTGAGCCAGCCGTCCTGGTGCTTCCCCAGGACCCTGACGCCTTCTCCCTTCTGCAGGTCCAGCTCGTCGGGTCCGTGGGCGGAGTAGGAGTGCAGGGCTACGAACCTGGGGGGGCACAGGGAACAGGTGAAGGGTAAAGGCGAGCGCCCCAGGGGAGGGCAGGGACGCAAGCAGCAAAGGGCCAAGGGAGACGGCACCTCAGCCCAGTGGTTAGCAAGAACAGCCTTTCAAAACTGACACCTCAGTATAAGGCAGATAAAAGTGGCAGAAGCTGGCGAAAACAGCAGAGGAGGAGCCCCGATCCCTGCCCTCTCCAGGTCCCCTCACCTCCCTCTGGAGTGTCACACAGCTTGACAATGGCAAGGGGAAGCAGGGTTAACTTTAGTTCTTTGGCACACGGTGGAATGCTGGCTGTGTGGCGGGATGGAGGGAATGGGCTTAACGTGGCAAAAACGTCCCCGGGTTAGAGCAGTGCTTTCCATTCAAAGTCCACAGGGTCAGGCGGTCGGTCACGTCCAGGTATGAGCTGGGGTGGAGACCCTAGGGAGTACTGAGGCTGTGGAAGTGAGACTACCTGGCTGGCTGAAGCCTTAGAAATGACCCACTTGGTGGTGCCAGATTCAGGAGTTACCAGTCTGTGGCCCTCAGGCTAGACCTTAGCAAGTCCTTCTAGGTTCTAGAGCCTTGAGGCACTGGAGGGCTGGGGGCAGAGTGTTCTCATCTGCAAGGCTGCATCTGAAGGCTTGTTTTGGGGTTTTTATTCCTCTCTGTTGGCTAGAGACTCAGTTACTACTCAGTTTGTGGTTTTGGGGGAAATAAAACTAGACAGTTGTTAGCGTTTCAGTTAAAAAAGACAACCCTTGTGGTCTGTCATCCTTCTATAATCATCCTTTTATGATCCCATATGGCGAAAACTATTTACACTATTTGCATATAAAAAATATTTTAGCCCGGCCGGGCGTGGCTCAGCGGTTGAGCGTCGACCTAGGATCCGGGCGATCGGGGTTCGATTCCCGGTCAGGGCACATGCCCGGGTTGCGGGCTGCAGCCGATCAATGGTTCTCTTATCATTGATGTTTCTATCTCTCTCTTTTCCTCTCCCTTCCTCTCTCTGAAATCAATAAAGATAGATTAAAAAAAAAAAATTTAACCTTTAACATTAAAGTGTGTGGCAAAACCCAGAAAGCATCCAGCATGAATGCAAGATACTTTCAATAAAGAGTCACTTAGTAGGTAGTAAAAAAAAAAAAGTTTTTATCCCCCCTAGAAGATGCTACATTGATTTTTCAGTGATTACTAAAGCAACATCTATTTATAACCAACATTTTGAATCTAAAGGAAGGCAATAGAAATGGCTCAATATGCAATTTCCCAGCAATATTTTGAAATGTAACCTTCCGGTCTCTTTCTACTTTGTGAAATAATGAGCTCGGGTAATGAGCTCTGCTAATTTGTATTTTCCACCTTTATTTCCATTGGCGATTTTAAAGGTGGGGGCAGCTGTTGCCTCTGGATGGGATAGTTTGGGAGCGGTGATGCTCAGTGGCAGAGGGACGGCAGCGATGTCCCCTCTGTGCCAGGCCCGGGGGCGGAGGGCTGAGCTTTTTACTCACATGTTAGCGGCCAGGTGTTGCTGGGAGCCGGGCAGACTGACGATGGCCGTGGCATGTCCTGGGGAGGCGGGTGTGGCGTGATACATGCTGACCTACACAGGCAGAAAAGAGGCGCGCTGAGCCAGCGGGCACCGCAGGCAGGCCCGCGGCAGGCAGGCCCGCGGCAGGAAGGCCTGACGCAGCTGGCACCCGGGGCGC